GAACTGGAGGATGGGAGAAGCCCACTTGTGTGACTTATTTGGAGGTTTATTTTGAGGGCTTCCGTGTACATTCTATGGCTCCCGAAGAGGAACATGTTCTTGGAGTAAACAACTGGCATTCCATCGGGGTCGTTCCCATAAACTTTTAGTAGGCAACCGATGGGCGGACGTGGTTTTGAACGAATGGTATGTTGTTGGAACAAGCCGTGGATGGCAGGACGGTCACCCGTCAGTTGCCCAGAATGAACCAACGTCGTAAGAATTTTCCAAACGGCCAGCGCCGGAAACAAACTTGCACGAATGCAAACACTGGTGCAAATCGGGATCTGTAAGAACCGTAGAGGCCAAAAGGATTTTTGGCATAGAGTTACCAGAAGAAGAAGAAGAAGAAGAAGAAGAAGAGGAAGAAGAAGAGGAAGAAGAAGAGGAAGAAGAAGAGGAAGAAGAAGAAGAAGAAGAATGATTTGCGGCAACAAATTTGAAAAGATAGACGTGCACAAATAGATATAGAACATGAGTGCTGCTTAAACACAATTTCAGATGCGTTTCTTGGGTGAGAACACCCATGAAGCCTTAATGCATCAGGGTTCTACTAAATCAGACCCCTGATTCCAAGACGAAGAAGAGGAGGAGGAGGAGACTGGATTTGTACCCCGCCCTTCACTACCCAATAGAATAGCCCCTATCTATACCTTGTGGCTAATAGCCACTGATGGACCTCTGCTCCATATGCTTATCTAATTCCCTTTTGAAGCCATCCATGCTTGTAGCCATTCTTGAGAGAACAGCTCTGAGAGAACTTGTGACCCAAGGTCACACCAGCAGCTGCATGTGGAGGAGCGGGGAATCAAACCCAGTTCTCCCAGTTTAGAGTCCACACTCCTCACCTCTACACCACTACACCAAACCTCACAAGGTTATAATGCCATGGAGTCCACCCTCCAAAGCAGCCATTTTCTCAAAGGGAACTGATCTCTGTCTCCGGGAAATCATTATTGGAGATCTCCAGCCTGTTTTTTAGCCTCCGGCGCACACATTTTTGTCTGAGCTCAGGAAAGGCTGGCTCCAGAGATAACTAGCCAGTTTGGTGTATTGGTTAAGTGCACGGACTCTAATCCAGGAGAACTGGGTTTGATTCCCCACTCCTCCACTCGCAGATGTTGGATGACTTTAGGCAAGCCGTAGTTCTGTCCGAGGTGTTCTTGAAAAGAGCAGTTTCTGTCAGAGCTCTCTCCTCCTCCTCCTCCTCCTCCTCCTCTTCTTCTTCTCCTTCCAGCAGCCAAATTGCTCGCTCACAACTTTAATGCCACTAGCTCACAAAATAGAACTTAGAGGGAGCATTGGTGGGACCCAGTATTAATCGGTGAGGGCCAGAATTTTAATCAGCAGAGGCGTGAATCAGCCGCAAGTGTTTTCTTTTGGAAGTGTTCCTTGGCTCGGGCCGAGAATGGCAACCTGGTTCCTGCAGTCACCGTTCCGCCTCACCTTTTCTGTTCTGCAGGAAGGGCTTCTTCTCGGCCTGCGAGAACTCCCCCCGGTATCCCTTTAGGCAGCAGACGGTTCTTTGCAAACATTTATTTTTTTACAAAACAACAACAACAAATGACCACGGCAGATTGACTTTTGAAGACTAGTCGCTGGAAAGGAGAGGAGGAATGCC